TGTTAACTTTTTGTATGTTTTCCAGCCCTTTTATCTCAACAACTTTTTGGTGGTAAATAAAATAGGTTTTCATTTATAGAAACAATTAAGTTTTCTAGTAATTTAAAACACATATTTTATGACTTACTTTTCACCAAATTAGTTAACATATATCACTTTTCGCAGTCAGAAAATGAAACTGCAGTTGCACATAATATAAAGTTGCGGTCATATATTTGTAAAATAAAAATAAACAAAAGTTCCGTAGCGGTTATATAATATTTGTTGCGATCACATTGCTTTTAGTAGACCACAGTGTCTAAATTGTATGTTTTTTTTCTTTTTGGTACTGGGGGAGAGAAAAGAGTTTAAGAAGCTATCCTACGTAGGTAAGCCATTCCAACAACATCGTGCTCGAGCCATGGTTTCAACTCCGTTGGCGGGAATTCTAATCGTTGTAAGCCACTAAGGCTAGTTCTCGCTAAAGAAACCAAATAATTTGCCGAGAAGTTTGATTCACGGTAGACGTGTCGTAGTTCCACATTCCAATCACGATTCATCAACTCCTTCATAGCCCGGACTAAGTTACTATGCACCCCCTCTAATTGTATGTTTTTTTCTAATTGTATTTTTTCCGTAATAATTGGGTTATTTGTGTTGCATATGAAACTGAAATTCCTTCAAATTACAACTATAGAATTAATTTTTCATTTAACCGGAAATGGTTTTACGATTTCACTCCGAGTCTTCCACTACTTACGAAAAGTAGAACCATAATATCAATATAAAACTAATTTTCTAGAACTTGTTTGCTTCGTTCAAGACTCACAATTTCAACGGTGTGCCAATTTCAGTCTCGAGCCCTCAACGAGCCAGAAATCGAGCTCGAACTCGACTCGTTAAGATCTCGAGCTCGAACCTTAACGAGTCGATCTCGAGCTTTAACGCGTCAAACTATAAGAAATTGTATAAAAGTTTTCTTTTTGAGCCTTAATGAACCTTATCACCAAACTAACTTTAAATGAGCTCAGCTCAGCTCAACTCGTTAAGGCCTCGAACTTGAACCTTAACGAGCCGAGTCAGACTCGTTTAATTTAACAACACTAATACTCCTTCCATGAGTAGTACTCCACTTCCAAAAGAAGAGGTTGAGCCTTTGAAGTTGGTAGCTGAAAGAAAGCTAAAGTTGTTCGTGAAGGTCGGGCCAGAGCATAAGGAAGGAATCTCACTCTCAATTACCTGGTTTGAGATATTATTCCAAGTCTTCTACTTACGAAAAGTAGAACCGTAAAATCAGTATAAAACTAATTTTCTAGAACTTGTTTGCATCGTTCCAGACTCACAATTCCACTAAGCAAGATGCCCGAGACCACTGCCCAGACTCACAATTTCCAGTAAATACCAAGTTTGTGCAAGATGCCTGAGACCACTGCCCAGAATGTGATTTCGGCAAATATTACATATAACAAAGTACCCACACGCTCGGATTTCCATACACCGGTAAAAACATGCTGTTGAATCCAATTTACCTGGTTTAAAAAAAAAAAGGGAAAGAAAGAACGTGAAATTCCGAATGTAGAACGATATAATATGTTTTTGCACTAATGAATGGATGTCACTAACCAGATTGTTATGCGGATTCTCGAAATACCATCCGTTTATAAATGCCGCAAAAATCCCCTCGGCTGCCATGACAAAAACGAGCATCGCATTCATTCCGATCCATTCCAAGAACACAAATGGCTTTCGGATTCCCCATACATCAACCTGTACATGCAACCGAGTAACAAACTTGAGAGAGAGAGA